GATTAAACTGGCCAGTCACCTCTGGGTTGAAGGTCCCAGCGTTTTCAACCATTGCACCAAAGGCACCATCCCCCTGTCCACCCAGCAGTTTCAGTGGGTACAACCGCAATCGGTCGATGGGAAGGTTGCGTGTGTGCGTTGGGGTGACGTGTGGGTACGTCCCACCTCTGCAGAGGGAACTGGCCAGTTTGGAAGGGTAGGCCAAATCTGCCCTCTGTTGGAGGCCCTTCTGCGGGCAGTGGCGTGAGCGAGCATTTTCAGAGCTGCACCTTTCCCTCCATGACCTAGATAGAGAAGACTCTACACAGTGCCCACACTCGTCAAAGACAAAGTTCCCCCGTGTAGCCTTCACAGACTTTTGGGGCAAGTGCTGTTCGCGAGCACCTATGAAGGCCGGCACGGCACACGAGTGGGTGGCCAGCACCACGCCCGGCCGCCTTTGTCTCCCTAGTGGCGATGTTTTGTACAATGTACAAGGTACTCATTTGAGGCTGAGTCGACCTAGGGGAGGCCCATAACCGGTTCAGATAATCGTCGCTGGTGTTAGACCATGAGCGGGAATCGAACCCGGGTCGCCAGGTTCGTAGCGCGGCGCGCTAACCCCTACAATACCACTCAACAGATTACGTATGTCGCACGGTTGGCTTAGTGGGAAATCAATTCAGAGTACATATACTCTGAACTTCTTTTTCACTGCGCCAACCGTGCTAATCGGAGGTTGCGTGTTTAAACATTTTTTTTTACGCAAGACCTTTTTGTTGCGTAACGCATTTGCGCACTTGTAGTTGTTGAATGCGCACCGACTCCATTATTTGTCAGAGCCGAATAGAATGGCACATTTTTTTTGCAAACCCACCAACTCTCTTGCCAAAATATCAGTTGTGGGCTCGCCGGCACCAGAAGGAGTCAATTTAGAAAGAAAAAATAATAATGGCAGAGGAAACACGATGGAAATGATTTAAAGATTAGCCAAACTTAAAGTGTTCAATGTGTGAACGGTTATTGCATCCTTATTTATTTATTTGTTGTGTTTTTTGTTTGCCAGCCACAAACTCAATTAAGTCGGTGAAGCTCGCCTTTGTGAGGATTCCACCGAGCCGATAATCTAATTTCGTTTTTTAAACTTGACACTCTTTTCTATGGATCTGCACTGGTGTCGGATGAGCAGTGTTGTGTTTGTGCGTCGAGCGGTGTGGCCCGATGTGGAACCATAACTCCACATTGTCTGTCTGCCCACACGCCCCAGAGGACGTCCGTCCTGGAGATGGATATCGACGCGTATGCAGGTGCCAGGTGGATTATCATCCAGTAGTGGATTCATGATCATGATGATGAATCCAACAGTGTTATTGATCATGGGGCATGATCATGATGATCGATGATGGATTTTGACACTGATGACGATGATGATGACAGTGATGACATTCATAGTCCAGGCATGGTGGACACACACGCTTGTATACCACCTGCTTGGATGGGATAGACGATCATGTAGATGTCATGCACCTACTATCAGATGCAAAACTCTCAATCGTGGAATTGGACAAACATCCCAACGTAGGGCCCTCTTGAGAAAGAGTCGTAAGTCACGGTGAAGATCTCATGTATCAAGTTCATTATTAGAGGCAGAAAGGTCTCTGTAGGAAGCAGAGCAGCATGCACTTTAAGTTGGTGACAGTTTGTGAGCATTATCGCCTCGTATGGATTAGTTTGCTCTTGGTACATTGTCGGAACAGTAATTATACGCTCTTACCACTCTGTATGTATTATGTAGAACTTCTTTCGCACCGTACGTAGCCATCCATGCTGATCGAAGGTGCAGGGGAGAGACTGCAAACTAAACACAAAAAATAGCAGTGATAAAGAAATTAGTTTTCAATTCAGATGTAAAAGTGCACAGCTCCAGTGCCTTCCTAATATCGGAATAGAAGAGCGTTCAAGACGGCCGCAGAAGCGCACGTGAAAACGCGCGATGTGGTGACCGTCTTTGTTCGATGGCCAGCGAAAAGCCGCTGCGAGGATGACCCGAGTTGGCGTGATGATGGTTTATGCTCCTTGACGAGATCAGCGAGGTGTCGTGGATAATTTCTGCCAAGCACATTGTGTGTGCAATGAGCGCTTGCTCACCTTCACCGACCCGCGCCGACCAGCGTGATGACGTTTGGCCAAATAGCCTCCACAACTGGCATCGGTGTGGAGAGGCCCTCATCCAGCAGTGGATTGCGCTGGTTTTACTGCCGCACGCCGTGGCAGATCCAGAGGGGCGGGATGGGCACTGATCGGCCTACACCCTCCCCACCCCTCTGCTTGAAACCCCCAAAATTGGTGTTTTATGCAGGGCCCCGATTAAAAAAGCTCGCTATGTTGGGATTGGTCCCCTCCCTTGGAAGTTTCTAGATCCATCTCTGGCATAAAAGTATATATTTCTTTCAAATATATAATAATTGACCTCACTTTCCAGGCAGGACTGTCCTCAAAAAGGCGATTAAGATTCGCTGAAGCTTCATTTTAGGTCGGTAAATAATTATGATCATGATAACCACGACTCCCAACTTTCACGACCGGCTTTGGTGTGTGTGTGTCTGGACGCGAGCACGTGTTTACGAACCACAACCCCCCCACCCCACCCACCAAAAAAGTAAAAAAAAACACAACGACGATAATTGCATCGCTTTGGGACTAACGTTGCCGCTCGCCAACGCTACAATTAATGCCAACCACGTGGCAAGCATTCGCGCAGCTCAACACCGTGAACAAAACTCCGTGCATCACGTGCCGTGCATCTTGTGCCACGAGTATCAGAATCATAATATTTTATCAGTATGTATTCATAGTGGAGGAATCTAATGAGATGTAAAGCTCTTTTTTATAGTTGTCCAGTAGTTTCACAGATGTCCGGTAGAGTACACATGCCACCCGCAGTGGTGTGCCTGAATCCACTGCTGGATGAAGGCCTCTAATCCGTCGCATTCTCTCACGATGCCGCCATGTAATAATCCACCTGGCACCTGCATACGTGTTGCTATCAGCACTCCTCCACGTCCGGGACAGACGTCCTCTCGGGCGTGTGGGCAGACAGATGATGCGGAATCACGGTTCCACATCAGCCCGGACCACTCGACACACACACACACGCAACACCGCTCATGCGACACGAGCACAGATCCATAGCCGCAAGTTTAAGATGCTCGCTGACAGCACTTGCTCCAGCAGTATGTCAATGCTATACGGGGGATATTTGTCCGCGGTGTGTCTGTGCCACCCGCAGCGGTGTGTGTGTGTGTGTGCACCATGGTGTGTGTGTGTGCACCATGGTGTGTGTGTGTGCACCATGGTGTGTGTGTAGCATGGTGTGTGTGTGCAGCATGGTGTGTGTGTGCAGCATGGTGTGTGTGTGCACCATGGTGTGTGTGTAGCATGGTGTGTGTGTGTGTGGCACAGCAGAATAGTTGCATGGCAGCGATTGCAATTTAGGGAGACAGTGCTGTCCACTTGCCCACTCTCTCTTTTTCACACATTGCCACTGCCATGTGTGGGTTGTTAAGTGCTGTTGAAAAACACTGCTCGCTAAGCTGGGGGTCTTATAAACGGTTCCTGCTGGGGGGGGGGGGGGGGGGGGAGATCCAAAAAAATCCCAAGACTGCTCCTGTGCGTGCGTGCGTGTGTTGTGCCATGTGCAATGTATTGTGCGGCGAGGTACGTGCGCTATATCAGGTAAAGTGGCGCATTAGGTTCACCATGTGCGGCGTTTTGCTGCGTTGAATTTATCGAGCGCATTGCTGAACTCTGAGCGCGTTTTTAACGCGAAGCATTAGCATCGTGCATCCAGCACCGTGGGTTCACGACACCCAGCGGTGCCCAGTTGGTTTGACATAACCAGCAGAAATCCAAACCTATTCCACAGAGGTTTGACAATGCCTAGAGTTCTGGATTGTTGAGATCACGATAATTACGTCGAATCGCGTCTGTCAAAATGTCGTGTTTTTCGAGTCTCGAGTGTCGCATGGGGTTGGAGTGATGGCGCAGTGGTTAGCACACTGCGCTGTAAACTCGCTGATCTGAGTTCGATTTGCGGCCAATGCTAACATCCGTGGCGAGTGATATGTGAACTGGTGTTAGCACTCCGTGCCTCTGCAGTCCCACTGCGTGGTAAAGCATGGTTAAACAACCCCAGTGGCCAACACGGTGTGGGGATGCCTTCAACCAGCGGTAGATTGACAATGGCCTGATAATTATATGTTTTTGATGTAGCGTCCTCTACCTCGGGGCATCTCAGAGCGCTTTAACATCGCATCTCATCTCGATACATTTGAAAGGGCATCCCCTGGTGGCAGCTGTCCCTGTGTGGCACAAGGTGACTCGGTACCTCGCCTTTCAAATTGGCAGTAGTCTGCCAGGAGGGAACAAAAAATGTTGTGTGCAATCCCAACTGCGAGTTCCCATTTTTATTTCATCGTAAATGTGAATGCGCCTCGTACGCCAACGACGCCGTTCCACGCGCAACACCAAAGGTATCGCGTGCAACCCAGCCGCTCCTTGCCACGCGTGCGCCAGCATGTTCCGTGGTCTCTCATTGTGCTGTGCGTGTGATGCTTGTGTCTGATATGTGTCTGATGTGTGACACGTGCAATGTATTGTGCGGCGAGGTACGTGGGGAGTGTAGTGTAGTAGTTAGCACACTGCGCTACAAACCCGGCGACCCGAGTTCGCTTCCCCCGCTCATAGGCCAACATCGATGACGAATATCTAAACCGATCCTGGGCCTCCCCTAAGTCGACTCAACCTCAAATGAGTACCGGTCAAGTGTGTAAATATCACCACTGGGCAGGGTGCTGTGACCATGCACCCTCATGCGTACCGTGCCGGCCTTCGTAGGTGCTCGCGAACAGCACTTGCACCCAACAGTCTGCAAAGACTATACCGGGGGATGTTTGTCTTTGTGACACGTGCCATGTGTGTAATGAAGTGTGCTGTGTGTGCGACACGTGCCGCCCTCGTAGCTGTACGTGGAGTCTCGCCTGCGCTGGCGCGGCGCACGCATCCTGCGTCCGCTGCTGCAGTTCGTGCTGCTGCTCGTGGCCGTCTTGGTGGGGCTGTCGCGCCTCTCCGACTACCGGCACCACTGGAGCGATGTGCTCGTTGGGTTTGGCTCTGGGGCGACCGTCGCATTTACTGTGGTGAGTGGAGATTTTAATTTACCTATTATCATTATTATTGTATGTATGTACGTTGAACTTCTTTTGCACCGTACATAGCCAACCGTGCTAATCAGAGGTTTGTATTATATAGTGCAGTGCGCCAACTTACCTGTCAATCAATTTGTCATTCATGTGCTAATCGTTCATCTAACAACGAGGATTTGTGCGTGTTTTTTTTACGTGCGTTTGCACATTGTTGTATCCTTTGTTCCAGCGAAGGATATAAGAACTGGGCAGAATCACAGCAGGATGGATCGTTGTCATCAGAAGTTAACCATTTCTGATCACAATCCACTCTAAAAATCATCATGAAAAAAAGGCCATCCCATAGCCAATTGCATTTTGCCGTCAGTTGTTTTCATCAACAGCATTGTCATCTTCGCCGATGACTTACGACGACGATGATCGCGGTTACGAGTCTGCGTTTGGCAGCATCAGCATTGACCTGATCGGGATGAATATCACTGCTTGGTCGTAATGTTGGAGCTCGCCGCTTGCATATTTCTTGCCCGCGTTTTATGCTGTAATTTATTGGCTGCAAGGAATTCCTCCTGGCTGTGTGCCGTCGTTAGGGAGGAGAAGGGAGGGGGCGCGAAGGGAAGGAGCCCAGTGAACCCACATGAAATAGCACAGCACAGCGAGCGTGGCCTCTTCATCGGGCTCGTTGGAATGTTTACACCCTCATTAAAACGACAACAATAAAAACGCCCGTTTGTTGTCTCAACGCCGCACAGATTCTCGTGAAAGTGAGGCCGCGCGTTCTCGGCAAGGCGAGCGCCCACACGTTTTCCATTGCAGTTAAATGGGATTTGATCCAATTTCGTGAAGCAAATGTATTTGAAAAAGTGGAACAAAATTGATACAAGGCAGACAAAATCCATCCAAAAAGCCTGGACGGTCCCCTTACACGCGAGCCAAATTGATCGGTGGGCGGTTTGACTTGGCCGGCCGGTGGAAATTGACTCTGTTGTACCTTGTGGCGAACAAGGGCGGACCGCTCTCCGTGTGCAAACTCTTTGAGCGCTCCGCGGTTTTGCTGCCACGCGCGGGGGGACCTCTGTCGAGCCACGGGGCCCCCCTTACACCGCGGGTCCTTCACACGTCGCGATGCCAACGCGGACTGCAGAATATGTCGTCGACGCGACGCACCGCAGTCTTCATTCCGCGCCTTGCTTCGGGGGATCTGGGCGCAGCCCCACAAGCTGTGACCTCCGTGCCCCTGCACTTTGCCGCAGGGTGGCTGCTGCATTAGTGGCCACTTCTGCACGGTGTGATGGATGTTGCGACGCCGCCGCCAACACCGCCACCACCGCAGTGTAATGGTCACCACACTCACCGGACTTGCAGTCCAGACGTCGCCGGGTTCGATTCGATCTCCCGGCGTGGCAGTTGCAACATTGCTCCGGTACAAGTTTCCTAAATCCCGCCCCCCCACCTCTGCCCCACTCAGGAGTGTAAATGGGTGTACCGCGGTCAGCAGGTTGTGTGTGCGGTGGGGTACAATGTGGGAACTCCCCACCCCCTCCAAGGCAACTGCCAAGTGTTGAAGAGTATCTTCTTGTTTCTTTCGGTAAAGTCACGTAGAAGGGAAATAATAAAATAATAAAAATAAACATAATAAAATACAATTCTCACGACGTTTCGGCCACAACGCAAGCAGCCATCCTCAGGTGAAGAACGGGGCTGTCGGAAAGACAACGTCTGAATGAAAATTTGTTGAAGAGTAGGCCACAGGCTATCTAGAAGGGCCCTCTAAAGCTCTCTCTCGTGGAGGCCTTTCCACCTGTAGTGGCGTAAGCAAGGAATTGCAGGGCTGCGCTTTCACCTGTATGGAAACCCCAGTAGCCTAACCAACTGGCATAGCCATTAGTGATGAGGCAGGGTCAGAAGTTCAGGTGAGTTGATGAATGGGATGATTAAAAAAAACTTCTGAGCGCTTTATGGAATTATGCCAAATGTCGTGGGGTAGCTGCAGGATTGAATTTTGCACCGTGATCTCAAAAATATTAAAAACAGAAGCGCACACATGAAAACGATCCAGCAGACTTGCCATGTGCCCATTCTGCCATTGTTTTCATTATTCTTAGCGTAAAATACAAATGTTTGCACATAGCAAGGAGGTTGTGAAAAGTTTGGAAAATTGTGTATTACAATTACACTTTGACTGTTAAATATATCAATCCACTCACTCGTCCTATGGCTATAAACTGACATAAACATTTAGTCATACACCCTTTATTTTATAATAATGTACTCGAAGCCGTGTGACTGCAAGTCATGTGTGTAAGCTCTGCTGTGTATGTTGACGTTTCTGTGCAGTTCAATGTTAACAGTCAATGTTCAGCGAACTTCACGCAAATGTTGAACGCGAAACAGAATGAGCAACGACCCAATTTGCCTCCGTCTTTCGTGCGTTCTACTCGGGCTCTCACCCCCTGTGTATATATGTAAAGGGCTGCAGCGCCGATTTTTATACAAAAAATATGAAGTGCAGATCGTTTACAAATGATTGGATTTTGTCGAGGCCCCAACAACCAACGTGTTTTGACTTGACTATGACCGTTTCTAATTGGTTCAACTCTTAGATCACAGCTAGCAGCCAGGCTCTCCTTTCGTTCTACCTTATTCCAATTGTGCCAAGCCTGTGCATACTAGTTCAGCTTTTTTATTTTAGGGGGCCCAGCCCCCTCCATTGACCCCATACTACCCCACCCCTCCCCGATGCTACATTCATGAACGTGATGATTCACCAAATCGCTGGACGCAGTCTGGGTGAACGGTTACAGGCCCTCACCGTCAGGTCCATTTTTTTCTTGCAGCAGCTCCGTTGCGATATCGTGCTGACTGCGGCCGCCCGTCCGCTGTTTGTTGTTGTTTCTTTTTTTTTAGGTGTTTCTCATCTCGGGGCTTTTCACCGACAACTGCCTGGCGGTGCACAAGCGCAGGGAAGCGGCGCGGACAAACGGGGACTTGGAACAGGGCCAAGCGGCCAATCACAACGGCCACGCCGACGCTGCAGCCACTGCCACCGCTGCCGCCATCCGCTGCAGCGCCCACAGTGGTGGACGTCAAGCGACGCCCCCGGAGCCCGCGGTCAGCGAGTGAAATTACCGACTCCGGCGTTCTTTTTGAAGGGAGAAAAGAAAAAAAGAAGTAAAACCTTGCCTGTCTTTTTGTTGTTGCGTGCGTCAGGCGAGGAGGCATTTGCTTGGCTGTATCGGCAAAGTGAAGTTGGAGGGAGGAGGGCGGATGGGGGAATGAGTCATCGCAGCGAAGTGTAGTCACGCGAGATGATGTATTTTGGCCGATGGCACAATTTGTGACATTCTGCGATGAGGTTGTCGGTTAGCCGAGCGCACATTTGACAAGGAGAGAGGGGGAGAGAGAGAGGTCTTTGTGTGGGGGGGAGGAGGGGGGCAGCCTTAGCTCAGACTATGAATTAGCATTGTGGACCCTCGTTAGGCCAATGAGGCAATAGATCCTCAGAAAATTGCAACGGACAAATGTGCCAGTGTTAAACTGCCATGAAAATTACGTAAAATTGCTCCGTGACCTGCCGGAGAATGGGTTTCTTTTTCAATGAAAAGGCGAAAAAAAATCCATTCAACCACTGGCCCTGTTGGAAGAGTGCTAGTCTTATCATGCCTTTAAACAAATCCGGCAATTTGACAGCAGTTTTTCTTTCAAAAACGGTGGGCTCTTTCACTCTCGTATGGCCTGAAGGCTATTAGATGTGGCAAAGACTGTGTATTTTTATATAAATGTTATATAAAGTAACTTTTAAGACAGATACCATCTATTTTAATGTGATGACTTCGGCCTATATTAAAACGCGCATTCAGTTTGCTCACTAATAATGCTCAAGAAGCAAATTGTTGATGGAGCTTCTCTCCTCTTTGGTCTGAATGACAGCTTTCCTTTTATTAACCACTAAGTCTGACCGATTTGGTCGAATGAGCGGAAAACGTTTCGTGGTAACGCCTTACAAAAAATGTACCATTAGCTCACTATGGTAAACCACGGTAATTGTGTATTTTTTTTGTATATCCCGATTATTTGGTGACGCTGCTAAGTCGGCGGTGGGTGCACAATCACGAATGACGATACAACAACAAACTCGACGCAAACGTCATTTTAAGACCGGGACCTTGAAAAGAAGTATAATAGACAGACGTTTCGCTCAATCGCCCTTCTTCAGGGCTCGCTATGTGCTGTGAAGAAAAGCCATTGCCGGAACTGAAACGTCGCTTATTATCTACTTTATTCTAAGGCCACATGGTTGTTATTGACGAATGTGTTACATTTGCTTTGCTATCCCGTCTCCAACCTGTTGTTTGATAGTCTTGTAGAAAATACGCCTTGTAAACGCAACAATACTTCATAGAAAAAATGTAAAATAGCGGCCAGGTTTTATATGTGAATGTAGCAATATTCAACAAAACCATCTTTTGGTTTACCATAGAGCATCGCAAAGTACATTTTTTTTTACTCTCGAGTGCACTTAGCGCCTTTAATCTAAGTATTAGCAAAGATGATGGTATTACTATAGCAGCTACTTTATTTTAATTATTATTATAAATGTAAAAAAAAAAAGATTTATGAGATGTTTAACTTCGTAGAGGTGTGAGGCCCCTTTTTAATATGACTTCTCTCCACACACATCGTCTCTGGGTGCCCCACGCATTGCCTGAACGCCCGCGCGCTGTGCTCAAGCCTTTTGTGCCGCGTGGGTGTTCACGGCTGTGCCGAACGGCTCTCCGATGCGTTTCACGGGTCGTGCCCGAGCGCACGTCGTTCGCCACCACGTCGTTCGCCACCACGTCTGACGTCTTCGCCTGCGCGCGCCGGCAAGGTGAATCGGAACTGGTTTCGCGTTTCCCGAAGAAGCCTCTCCCCGGCGCGTGGTGGTGGAGTGAAAAGGTCGGGCGTCGGGCCCGAACGACGGTGTGCGGTACCACTGGCAAACGCATCGGCGAGAGCTATAGTGTTCAAGTCCTGTTTACATTACGGAGGCGACACACATTTGTATGAGCTTTGTTGAACAGTTAATTTACTTGTTTTTTAAACGAGCCCGGAAGGACAAACGATCAGTATTCAAACTTAATGTGATACAGCTGAAAGTGTTTTTTTAAACTAGGCATTTCAAGACAAAACTTTTCTTATTTTATTCTCATGTTTTTTTTTTAGTTATATTTGTGCGAGCGGTGCGTGTCTGTGTCTGCGTCGATATTATTTTTTTTGGGTTTTCCACAACCTGCCTGTGGTGGGGTTAATCACAAACATGCCTCTATTAAATAAACTCCTGTGTATAAGAGAGAGAGAGAGAGCGCAGCGCGTTACCGGACTTGCGCATAACTTGGGCAGTCCCAGCGACTGCGGTTTTGTGAGTACAATGTACATCGTGATGCCTTTGTCAAAATAAAACACATTCTTGTAATGTAACACACGTGGCTGTTCTGCTGCTTTCTTCATTGCAACATCACCCCCCACGTCCCCTGCCACCCCCAACACAACACCATGTGGTAGTGGTAGTAGTGGTGGGGTGGGGGTGCGGTGGGGGTATACGGAGGGGATGGTGGATTCAGGGGAGAGTCGTAATTACAGGCCCGCGTCTCTAAAAGGGGAGGAAGTTTATTACTGGTGAGTATTTGTTGTTGTTTTTGTTTGCCTAAGAAAGCCTCACCGAATTTCGAGACTCATTTTCGGGAGGGCAATGATGCGATGTGAAATCCCAATTGAGCAATTTGCAGCTAATTTTTAATCATTAGGATGTTTGACCCATACCAGTTACACTGCATGTGTTGTTGTTTTTTGCTATGAGAGGAAACTGGAGAACGCAGAGGAAACCCCACGCAGAACAAGCGGAGAACATTTATACTCCAGGCAGAAAGGCGCCCCTACCTGGTCATGAATCAATCCCAGGCCCTTCTTGCAGCAAAGCCACGAGTGTTACCGCTGCATCACCCTGCCTGACACCCCTTACACCAAGGTTGATGTATTGCAATGACGCAATGGTAGATTGTGTGGCGATTCGGATTACTGAAATTCAGATACAGTGAATGGAAGATAATACAATGTACGAGTATTTCTATTCCTTTAATACCATGATTGTTGCGGCTGATAACGGCGTTTAGATTACGTTTTATTGAGAGAGAGAGGAGAGATCGTATCCAAGAAAACGAGCACTGTGGAGATGGAGCGATGAGATCAGTGAATGTGCGGGAGCGAGATCAACTCTGAGCGACGTAGGCGCTGTGGGTAGGCCTTCATCTAGCAGTGGAGTGACATTGGCGATTGATCATCTAACACCAGGTGGGATGTCATTCTCCTCGCTTTCCCCATTGTCCGGAACTCTCTTACCCCAGCAATCCGTGCCATTTTACTCCCTGACCCTGTAAAAGTCCAAGTTCACGACCTTCCTATATTTTCCTCTACCTATGCTTGTCGCCTCTCTCTATAAAATACCCACTGTTCCTCTGCAAGCATCATGAGATGTGGTTGCGTGATCAGATGCTTTATATGCTGTGTGTGTATATATATACACATTACATAAGGTCCACTGATCTAGACGCGTGTGGTGAATAGAAGGGGTATTGTCGTGGAAAATTTTGATAATCCGCATAAAGCTCCGAGTTGAGCATGCAAGGTTTGTTGAGAGCGGGTGGATTAAGTGGATAGAATGAATGGATTAACAAAGTTCATTTCACAGCCATCTATGGGAAGATGACACAATAACAGCATTTAAATTGTCACGCGTTTGACCGAGTCTGGGAAATGTTCTATTTTATATAGCATAGAGGAAACGTGTGGTTATCAAGTTTCATATTCAAGGAAAAATCCCTACGGTTACCTTGAACACAGTGGCGTAGCACGTTTGGCGTGGATCCCGGTGCAAGAAGTCACATGCGGGTTGCCCACCATCCTTCTTCATTGCCTGCTGCCTGGGCCCCATCTGGCCCGTGGGCCCTTGTGCAGTTGCACCTTGGGTAGACCAGAGGACCGGTTTTCCCAGAATGTTCCTGTTTGTCAGTTGTGTAAGTCGTGATAATCATAATGACGCGCCACTCAAGACAACGCATTGACACGTAGCTCTCACCGAGATATTCTTCATCTCACGGTATCGTAATCGCACCGCCTGCACAGCTCACGATAGCAATCGGCCACTTCGTGGAATTGTAAATGTCACCCCCACTTCGCAACTCGACAGGCAAGTAGCGTGCTGGCGCGAAAGTCGGGGTGCGTACCGATTCGCATTAAAACGGGCAACAAACAGTGCTTTCCTGGCACACACAGCACGCGGTACATGGTGATCCAGATGTTTTGTGCCCCCCCCACCATTGAATTCCCTACCAACTTATTTTTTTTGTTTTAAAGTAGATTTATAGAAAACAGAAATGAGTATGCAAAGGAACAAAATGTTGGGGTTTAATTAATTGGGGGGAAGGGGGCCGTGGGGGGGGGGGGGGGGTCACGAGACATCTGGAGCACCCTGTACAACTCGGATATGCGCAAAGGAAGAGCAAAGTCTGTTGCCGTCACCGAACACCTCTCGAAGAGGACATCTCTTCCGACAACAGCAGCTGGCACCGGGGCTTGTTTAAGGTGGCCTCTTTGGCCGCTGCAATCGGAAGTTCCAGGAGGGTTGTCCGCATTAGCGCTGTGTTTTGCTGTTTTGATTTCAAAAAGAGGCAAATGGAAGAAAAAAAAACGGCGTCCTAACACGTAGCACACAAAAACTAAATCCGGCCAGCCGACCCCATGGGATCATGGAACTTGGCCCATCGAAGGATGAAGAACATAGACTTGCGCTGCGTTGCTTGCGTGAGCCACGCAGCTGGGATTGTGGAGACCATTCCAAGAAATGCATTTTGATTATATTTAACACATGGTTACTTTTCACGGAGAAATATATCACCATTTATCCCTGCCATATGCGCAATCTGCCATCTATATAGCAACAAAAAAAATGCGTTGCTAAATATATATTGGCGTGTTTAAAGCTGTTTATTGTACACGACGCATCAATCCATTGCAGCGGTGACCCCAGATACCTGGAGTTCAATTGTCGATCACGGCTCACATCAGTGGTGAGCAATGCATCAACACTTCAACAACCCGCACTCACCAGCATGGTGAAGTATCTTCTTGCTTCTTTCGGTAAAGTCACGTAGAAGGGAAATACTATTATTTTATTATTTCCCTACTACGTGACAGAACCAAGAAGATGAATCCCTGCAGTCGCGAAAGCTTTAAATCGAAATGGTGAAGTATGGTAACAAAAACAACCCTCACATGGTGTCGGAGGGACTTCATCCAGCAGAGAATGTATATATATACAATGTATAGAGGGTATCAAAAGGGAGGTGACTATAGGATCAGATCACTGAACCACCACCGCTGAGATCCTGGGTTCGAATCCAGATTTCAGCTACCAGTGATTCAGGGATGAGCTGTGGATCCAGGTCAGGTATGCATGGAGCTCCGTGTCGGGTTTTCCAGCAAAGAAATCCATTCACCCATCCAGGTATAACAGGTCTCGCAACAGCCCACTTGTTCATTCTATTTTGCCTCCCCTTTCCTTATTGTACTCTGAATTACTTTATCGCTTGCTCACGTCGCCTGCAAATACAAAACCCGAGCCAGAGCTCATTACCTACCTGACCTGGATCCATGGCACACCACGGTGACACTGAGTTCTGAAGTGTATGAGTTGTTAATCTCAGCCCAATCAAAGAAGACCGCACGAAACCCATAATGAATTCAGTGATTAATTGTAAAGAACGTATTCTTTTTTTATATCACGGATGATTAATGTTTACATTTTGAACGTAAACGTCAAGCTGACATAAAACGAATGTAATTAATAATAATTGCCAGCCGTTAGCTAATCATCGAAGTGGTGAAGGCCTCCCTACCATGTCAGGCATGAGGGATTGTTTGACCTTACTTCACTACCCTGGTCAGTACGGGTGGGTGATGTGAGGGCCAGGATTTGTTTTTTTTAATGTTCACTATATTGTACAAATACGTCCTTGCTGATTCAACATCCTGGAAATTATTTAACAAATAAACATCGTTAAGTGGGTACACACTACACAGTACAACATATGCCGTAATGCTAATTCCAAACAACAACAATAACATTAACAATTATAAACATAAATGTTACTGGAAAAGTGTTAAAAGCATTTTTTTAAATAATTCCATTCCATGAGCTGTATACCGATCCACATTTTGCTACTCGCCAATAAACTCCATTGATGTGTTCCACACGCACCCCGGTGATATTATCTGTGTAGTTTGTGCCAGGTGATGATGTCCGTTGCACTGAATTACATCAATTTATTAGTGGACAGAATAATTACTAAATAATACACTTAAACAAATGTCTTATTACACATTCAATACCCCACAGCCTATTTCAACTTTCTGAATCTCATCAGCAGAGTGTAGCCTGCCAGCTTGTGCTAATCTTTACACCTCAACAGTAGCCCAAAGTGGACATCATCAAGGCACACACATTCTAAGCAACGTCAAACGTTATTCCCATATCTCACTTTGCCTTCCAGAAAAAAAAACACCCGTTCCGAGCCATAATTACACATTGAACGGAAAGGAATGTTTCGGGCCGGTGGGAGAGAAAAAAAAATCTATTGAATTTACAAGTACTCTGTGTTTAGAAGTTTGAAAGCTTTGCGTCGCTGAGGCCGCTGGTGGGTCGTGTGGAACTCAATCCAGGAGGAGGAGGGCAGGAGGCACCCGGGCGCTGTGTGCGAGCGAGCGAGCGCCCGTTTCCTGGCCTCACGTGGAAGAGGGCAATTTTCTGTAAACACGTGCACATTTCTTACTTGAACCGAGAAGCGGTTGTTATGTTTTTTTTCTTTTCGTGCGTGTGTTGTGCTTTTTTTCTTCTTTTTTCTTTTTTTACCTTCCAGTGGCGCCCAGGTGTCGTTACGAGGTCCAGCACCAATGCCAACCCCGCCCCTCTTCGACGATGTTAGCGGTAGCTGGATGATTTTGAAACCCGTTTTGGCCGATAAATGACACACAATTAATACATTTTGACTTTGAATTTGCTTTGAAAAATCGGTACGTGGTAAAAATTCGTTTACATTTTGTCAGCCTTACATCGGCAGGGTTGGCAATCGTGCACGCAATTCGTAGACTTTTGCGGTGGGTGATCTGTAATCCAGAGCTATGGGCGTAGGCGAATCACAAAGAAAATGAGTGCTTGAGAGACTCACCTTCAGAGTTAGGAGTCTGTGCCTGGAATAGGCAGTAGAGTAAGTAAGTTGATGACAAACATCTGTGACGTTGATAGTAATCCACTCTAATCTGATTTCCTTCCATAATAATAATGTGGGGGAAAATAGCATGATAAATTAATTGGTCAAACATCTCAACTAGGATTCCACCGCATGATAAGCCATGCTCTTTTCCTC